TGTCCTCTGCAAAGTGACTGAGGGTGCACTCAGTGATCTCCAGAGGTCCCTTCCAGTGTCAACCATTCTGCTGATGGAATAAAGCAGCATTTTCCTCTTCCCCATCCTCCCACCAGGATCTCCACGTTGGCTGGAAGAACAGGGAGTGACTCCTCACCTCAGAGAACAGGTAATACTCCTCAGCGAAGTACTGGAACGCCAAGTAGTGATTGAATATCACCAGCACTGTGAAAATACAACCAAAAAAAGCACAGCCAAGTCAGTCTCCAGCCTGGAAACACACCACCATGGGCTTATTCCAGAGCTCCTGCCAGAGGACACGTCCCTCTGCTGCTGCAGATCCCGTAGAGAGCAGCTTCTCCTTCTCACATCCCCTTCCCCGTGGTCCCTCCACACTTGGAATCTTGCTGTTGCTAAAATATTTTCACGCATCTAGTGAGAAACAAGCAGAGTCCCTCCTGCCCCAGCTCCATCCTGTCACTCTGGGGCTGCTCCTCTCCAGTCCCTCATCCCACTGGTGTTTTATTTTCCATGTCCCCAAAGGCACCACGGAGAGAGAAAGAGAAAGAGAGAGAGAGAGAGAGAAAGAGCCCAGGCTGACACTTGCTAATGCTGCATGAGGCTGGGAAAGGAATTAAATATATAAAAATAAAAATAAAGCAACATAAAACTAAAACTAAAGCTAAAGCTAAAACTAAAGCTAAAACTAAAGCCAAAACTAAAGCCAAAACTAAAGCCAAAACTAAAGCCAAAACTAAAGCCAAAACTAAAGCCAAAACTAAAGCCAAAACTAAAGCCAAAACTAAAGCCAAAACTAAAGCCAAAACTAAAGCCAAAACTAAAGCCAAAACTAAAGCCAAAACTAAAGCCAAAACTCCCCATGTCCCCAGCAGCTGCTGTGGAGAGAAGCTCTTGTGGTGTCTGTAAATCAAGTGAAGCTGAAACATGGGCAGGAGAGTGGAGATAAAAAATAAAACCACAGTGAAACATTATTTTTTGCAGCAAATAAAACACCCTTTAGCTCTTAAGAGGCAGGAATTTGGAATTTGTGCTTCCTTTGGCTTTTTATTTGGGAGATAACAACCCCCAGCTCATGGAGGAAGCCAGGAAGAGACAGTCCTGACACACAAACCACCGTGTCCTCTGCTGCTTTGTCATCCTCTGCAGCCTAAAGATGTCACCAAAAAATCCAGATGAGAGTTTTGGTTCTGCCTGGAAAAAAAAAAGGCAGCTCCTGATGGAGGCAGCACGGGGAGAGCTGCTCTCATTTTCAAGGAGCAGCTAAAATCCTGTCTCCATGAATTCTTTGAGGAGTAAAAGTATTTTAGTCATCTTGAAATATGCATCAGGACTCCAGAAAAATCACATTGCAAGGGAATTTTGCCCGTTTGCTACTTAAGGTGTCACTAGAAATCACTCAAGGGCAGAGAGCTGAAGTCAGATCCACACGTGGGACAGTAAAACACGCCACTCACAGTGGGATGAAACCATCTGACCCACTCAAAAACCAGTTGAATTGGCAGAGTTACTGGTCCACCACCCCAGATCTGGCTGTGGATCTGCTCCCAGGTTCAGCCTATGGCAGGTAAATGACTGAGCTGCCTCGATTTGGCCAAAATATTGGGGGGTTTTAATTTAAACACCTCACCCCACAGCACAAGAGAGGAGAGACCCTCGTGGCTGTCTCACACCAGGGCTAATAGCCCAGCTGGGGATGAAGCCACAGCAGCCAGGAGCTCAGCAAACACCCCAGGGAAAGTGTAAAAGGTGGCAAAATAGAACTCCCTGATTGAAGCTGGGCAGGGGATTTCTCCAAGGGGATTTTTTCCAGTAATCCTGAGGAATTTCCATGTTAATTGTGGATATTTGTCTCAAAAAGCTTTTGTTTTCCCCAAAATCAGCTCCGTGTGACACGCCTGGCTCACGTCAGGCTGTGGCTGGACACGTCAGGTTTGTGAGTGTCCTTCAAAACCCTCCAGCTCGTTATCAGGAACACCCAGGAGATGTGCAGGGAGGACACTGGGATCTCCTTTCCCCAGGGCTGCTGTGTGAGCTTGGAGGAAATTTCAAGCTGGATGGAGGGAGAAGCAGAGGAGAAAACTGACTTCTCTGCTCCTGGTTGTGATGAGGGGGGGGGGAAAAAATCAAAGCAAAGGTGGTTCCCACGTCACCAGGCTCCTAATTATCACAAAGAGCAATTAAAACCAAGGGCACGAGGCTCAAAGTCCTTCTCCAAGTCACAGGGGATGCAACAGCAAAACCCAAACCTTTGCTGCCACCCAGAGCCCACCCAGAGGGTTTTTGTCTCCACTCCCACCCCGGTGTCCCACTCCCACGGGAAGGTCAGAGCCCCACTCACCGCAGGAGAGGATGAAATTGGAGGATGTCAGGATGATGAAGGGGAAGGTCTGGAGCAAACCGAAGTAGACCAGGTTGGTGAAGAGCCCCACGCCCACCATGAACCCGGGGAAGTGTTCAAAGAGGTAGAGACCAACCAGCACGGCTGAGGAGAACTGGAGGAGAAAAGGAGATGGTGGAGTGTGGCCAGAGAAGGGACAAGGGAGCTGGGGAAGGGTCTGGAGGACAAGGCCAAGGGCATCCTGGCCTGGATCAGCACCAGTGTGGCCAGTAGGAGCAGGGCAGTGCTGGTCCCCCTGCACTGGGAATCACTGGTGAGGCCGCAGCTGGAGTGCTGGGTTCAGTGTTGGGCCCCTGAGTCCAAGAAGGACATGGAGGTGCTGGAGCGTGTCCAGAGAAGGGAACGGAGCTGGGGAAGGGTCTGGAGCACAAGTGTGCTGAGTTCCCTTGTGGCTGAGGGAACTGGGGGTGTTGAGCCTGGAGAAAAGGAGGCTGAGGGGAGACCTTGTGGCTCTGTGCAAGTCCCTTGGAGGAGGGTGGAGAGAGGTGGGGGTGGGTGTGTTCAACCAAGGCCCAAGGGACAGGACAAGAGGAAATGGGCTCCAGTTGTGGCCAGGGCAGGTGAGATGGGATGTGAGGAAGAATTTCTTTGCTGAAAGGGTTCTGAGGCATTGGAAGGGGTTGCCCAGGGCAGTGGTGGAGTCCCCATCCCTGGAGGGATTGAAGAGTCATGTAGACACAGTGCTGAGGGACATGGGTCAGTCATAGGGGACTGGTCAGTGTTGGGTTCATGGTTGGACTCCAGGAGCTCAAAGGGCTTTTCCCACCAAGGAAAAAATCAGGTCTGTCAGAATCCCACCACTGCTGCAGCTCCTGGTAGGACACGTTGTGTCTGTGCCTCAGTTTCCCCAGCCAGGAGGGTGAGTTGTCACCCAGGTGTCACCCAGGAGGTGTCAGGCAGGGTCACCACCTCCCCAGTCACATGAGGAGCGATGAAACAACCTCTGCCAACCTCCCTCCTCCAAAGCCCCCTCAGATCCAGGAGCTCCCCACATCCCTGTCCCCTCTGCCCAGAGCTGATGTCCCAGGTCACAGCCACCCCACCAGCCCCCCCAGGGTGATTTTGGGGAGAATTGTGCCCGTTTCTGGACTCACCCAGATCATGTATTTGATGATCCTCCTGGTGACCACCGTGTACTCCTCGATCAGCTCCGCCAGGTAGTAGAGTCCAGCGGCTGCGGGAGAAGCAGGCGGCTCAGCCCCGGGGGACAGGGGGGGTCAGGGGGGGACACAGACACTGGGGACACCAGCATTGGGGGTCCCTGCCCACCCCAGCCAGGAGGGACTGCAGGGTAAGGGGGACCCCCCACCCCACAACTCACTGGGGCACCCAGGAAAGCTCGGGGGCACCCAGGGGACCCCCAAACTCTGGGG